GCTGAAAACTTGAATTAGAGTATCAAATTAGACAAAATATAAGGAGGGTGGGATGTTAGAACTTGCCAACTTGCTAATTGCTGCTTTCAAGGTTTAGTTCTAACAATGTAAGGCACTCTGAAATCTAAACAAGGAGATCTTAAAGAAGTCATCAGCAAGGTCAGAATGAACTGATGATGGGGTTTTCATTAGTCCTCTGCTGCAATGGCATTTTGCTATTTGTCATTGTCATTGTCCTCCCACCCCAAGCAGGCACAGAGAAAACAAAGCCCAGAGCTGTACTCACCAGCCTTGATGTGGACATCCTGACTTCTAATTTTCCCTGAAGGATTTTCAGCTGTGCAATAATAAGTATTATCATGGATTAAGGTACTGAAGCTTGAAGGAGGGAAGGGGAAAATTTGGAGAGTGCCGTTGGGGTGGACGTGGCGGATCCCGGGGACATCGTAGATCTCCTCGCCCGTGGCTAGGTACCATCTGAGAGTCACAGGAGGGATGCCTGCTGCGGGGCAGGGCACCAGAGTCCCCGTGGTGCTGGCAAACACTACCTCTTGCAGAGATGCATTGACAAAGTAGAGGCTGGAGTGTAGGTCTTCACTGAAAACTGCAAGAAGACAACACGGGGATCCATGGGTAAGTAAAACATGCCTTTGACATTTGCAGTTCAATGTCTGGCCTCAGAGTTATCTTGAAAATTAATCATGAGGCTCAGGCTCAAATAAAACCAAATAACTCAAATTTTCTCAAAATGCTATGAGCAGACAGGCTGATACTAAAAAATAAGGCGCCATCCTAATTTCACATTTTGTGCACAAACTGTTAAGTTACCCTGGATGCTAATTTTTAAACAGATTGTTTTTTTGCCTCATGCTCCAAGCCCTGTTTAATAGATTGGTTTTTTGCCTCATGCTCCAAGCCCTGTTTTGTCCCCACACTGGCCATGATCGGACTGTGTATCATATAGCTTGTATTCACTTATTGTCTATCTTCTGCCACTAGAGATAAGCCTCAAGAGGACAAGGTCTTGATTTACTCCCACTATTACCTGGAGCATAGCGCCCAGCTATCACTGGGCTCTCAGTAAAGGGAAGCTGAATGTGTGAATGCGTAGATCTTGTTGCTGGGATCAAATTGCTCTCATTACTAGGTACACTGAGGGTTATTATGAAATAAAATTAGTCACATTTTTAATTAAAATTGAAAATCACATGTAAAGCATTTTATTATTTTTTATTATACTTTAAGTTGTGGGATACATGTGTAGTTTTGTTACATAGGTATACATGTGCCATGGTGGTTTGCTGCACCCATCGACCCATCATCTAGGTATTTCTCCTAATGCTATCCCTCCCCCAGCCCCCTACCCCCAACAAGCCCTGGTGTGTGATGTTCCCTTCCCTGTGTCCATGTGTTCTCATTCTTCAACTCTTACTTATGAGTGAGAACATGCGGTGTTTGGTTTTCTGTTCTTGTGTTAGTTTGCTGAGAATGATGGTTTCTAGTTCGATCCATGTCCCTGCAAAGGACATGAACTCCTTTTTATGGGTGCATAGTATTCCATGGTGCATATGTGCCACATTTTATTTATCCAGTCTATCATTGATGGGCATTTGGGTTGGTTCCACGTGCTATTGTGAATAGCGCCGCAATAAATATACACGTGCATGTGTCTTTATAGAATGATTTATAATCCTTTGGGTATATACCCAGTAATGGGATTGCTGGGTCAAATGGTATTTCTGGTTCTAGATCCTTGAGGAATCGCCACACTGTCTTCCACAGTGTTTGAACTAATTTACACTCCCACCAACAGTGTTAAAGCATTCCTATTTCTCCACATCCTCTCCAGCATCTGTTGTTTCCAGACTTTTTAATGATAGCCATTCTAACTGGCAGGAGATGGTATCTCATTGTGGCTTTGATTTGCATTTCTCTAATGACCAGTGATGACGAGCTTTTTTTCATGTTTGTTGGCTGTGTAAATGTCTTCTTTTGAGAAGTTTCTTTGCCCACTTTTTGATGGGGTTGTCTTTTTCTTGTAAATTTGGGCTCTTTGTAGAGTAAACCATGTTAAAAAAAAAACACCATTATCAGAAAATAGAATGTCAAATCAACAATGCACTTTTATTTAAAATAGGACATAACAATAAAGAGAATTCTGACAAAAGCATGACTCAACTCCACCAGCCTACAGTGTCTGTTTTGAGTTTTACATTTCCCTTCTGGTCCACCTGCCTCCATGCCTTATCTATATAATTATATCATGTTAAAGTGTACATACATAAAAGGTACCATTTTTATAACTGTTTCATTCTCTTATACATCATCTACATAATTCCATGGTTCTATACAGACTTCACAAGTAAATATCAGTGAATGTACAATTTATGTTTTCTTTTTTTTTTTTTTTTAAGACAGAGTCTTGCTCTGTCGCCCAGGCTGGAGTGCAGTGGCCGGATCTCAGCTCACTGCAAGCTCCACCTCCCGGGTTTACGCCATTCTCCCGCCTCAGCCTCCTGAGTAGCTGGGACTACAGGCGCCTGCCACCTCGACTGGCTAGTTTTTTGTATTTTTTAGTAGAGACGGGGTTTCACCGTGTTTGCCAGGATGGTCTCGATCTCCTGACCTCGTGATCCACCCGCCTCGGCCTTCCAAAGTGCTGGGATTACAGGCGTGAGCCACCACTCCCGGCCCAATTTATGTATATTCTTATGAACTGTTTTCCTGCTCTTTTCATTTACATTGTTTCTCCTTTCACTTCTACAAGTAAATATCAGCAAAAGTGTTCATACACATTTAGCTTTTTAATTCATTTAAGGGCCTAAACAAGGGTTTTCTGGAGTGTTGGTTATGTGAACAAATAAAACGTTACTTCCAGAATTTACAAGTTAAACAAAAGATTTATAAACATAATGAAGGCCTACTTGTCGCCCATCTGAGCTTCTCTGTGACCTTCTAAAGCAAGTATATAACTAGTTACATATTTGTAAGAGAGAAGAGAAGCCCCAGATATTTCAAATGAACTTCACTGGTCAGAGGTGAGAATAACATTCATTGGATGCTTCACACTAGTCCATACCAGACAATCTTGTAACACTCGAGATGAACAGCAGCTCTGCTAGGTAAACAAAGGCTCCACTTTGCAGACAATGACACGCAGATTCACAGGGCTGTCACTTGACCAAGGACACAGGATACAGTCACTTGAGCGAGACGCAGGGCTAGAAGGTGGCAGAACTAGATTCAGTCTTTCTGATGAAGGCTTCTGCGATTTATGTTTCCTCATCTTAGAACCAAAAGTGGCATAACAGTCCCCCTCATTTGGGTGGGGATTAGAGGCAGCTCTCTATAGAGTGGGTCTGTGGCCTGTGCTTCCAGACCTAGTCTTTCTCCACGGTATGGGGCTGAGGGGTTACAGGCTCCTGCTATGTGCTGGGGTTGCTACTAAGTCTGTGAGATAAGATACATGTGGCCCTCACTTTGCCTGTAGTTAATTGATATGATTTGGTAAGAAAGAGATGAAGAAATTAACACTATTTACAAAGGTGATTGGACTCATCCTCTAATAATAAGATTTAGCCTGCTCACTAAATGTGAAGGTAGCAGGTAGTCCCCACCCTGCTGTTAGGAAGCACAGCATCCAAGCATTGGCACAAGGCTGGATAGATGTGGTTGACTCTACTCACAGCACGTCCTTTCCTGCTGCCACTTGAAGTGGACACTGTGGGGCTCTCTCCATATTTCCCGTTTAGGGCCAATGCACCCTGCCCCACAGCAGGTCCTCTCTTGAGTCCCACACTGGGAACCAGCCCCACTTACAGGGAACTGCCTTGTCTGAGGCCTGCAGGGAATGACTGGTCAAAGGTGGCTCCACAGGCCTGGCCCCCTCATGTTAAGGTGCAACAATGCTGAAGGTGCATCCCAGCTGAGACCGCTATTGCCAGAGCTTTGCAGAGGAGCTTCTCCCTCCACTCATTCTGCCTTCCTCACATCCTTGCTGATGTGTCTCTTGAGAATACACTCCCAAGAGGCCTTCTGCGTGCAACTCTTCCTCTGAGCATCTCCCTTCAGATAACTCAACATGAGACAACAACTGAGGCTCTGCTAGTTACCCTCTACAACCGTGTCTTTCTGAGATGTTTTTCTATTTTAAATAAAATAATCAGAAAGTGCCAACTAACATCCCATATGAGCTCTCCAATACAGCATGAGCAATAAATAAAATACACCAAGATGGAAGAAAGTACTACATCTAGATTATCACTGGATTAAAACATTTTTACAAGCAATAATTATTACATTGAATAAGGCAATGACACAACTAAGACTTTCAGGCTGTTATGTTTTTGGGAACCCATTGAATCTGGACAGTGACAATGTGTAGTTTGTTTTATGAAAACATACTCATGTAAGAATCTAACATTTATCTATTATATAAACATTTTGATTTTTAAACTTCACATATTCAGTGAGCTCACAGGCCTAAACCTAATGCCTAGCAAGCTGTGTGTGATTCGTAATTGTTAGTTGGTGCATTCACTGTCCCCATTTTTTCATTTTCCATCTCATAATTCACGTAGT